GTCGGGAGTTCGCAGAGTCCAGTCGAGACGGGCAGGGGGGTGGTTAATGGTTGAGATGGCCGGGAACTTTTTTCTGATTGGAGGCGTCAACGACAACCGATCTGTTTCGACAGAGGTTCTGTGGACTGTTCACTGTGGATTGTGGACTGTGGACTGGAAGCCGCGGGAGGGAAGCGGATTCCAGGTGCAAGTGACAAGGAGTGTGAGGTGCGCGAGGGTGCGAGGGGAGTGGAGGGATGAGCGATGGAGCAGCTCTCAACAGACTGCGAGTCTGCTGGGTCGGGCTGGGCCGCCTGTGGTGGACAGTGGTACCGTCACGCAGACATATGCTGGGACGGTACTTTGTGCTCTCTCTCTATCTCGCTCACTCTCTCTTGCAGCAGCAGCAGCAGCAGGCCAGCAGCAGCATCAGTGGGTGCTATCCGGACTGCTGGGGGTTACACTGCTTGGTTACCCTGGCTCTTTCCCTTGTGGGGGATGGAATGAAGACAGCCTACTGGATGTTCACGTGTCGATTCCAGTGTCTGCAAAGAATTCAGTGTCCTTTTTGGACCTCTGCCATTTGCTGTTATGGTGCTTCAGTGGAACATGGCCGCAACTTTTGGGGGAGTGAGCAGCAGCAGGGGTGGCCAGCTGCCGCCAAGCGGCTACGTAATCCATGTACATAGTATTCTCTTCGTCCCCGTGGACCTCAGCCCACAATCTAAGCTGTCGTTACCCAACAGCATTGAGCATTGAGCAGCGGCATCCGGAGCTCTGGACTTCTCCCCTTCTCCCTCGCCCTTTTTTGTGGTGCGGTCTTCGGAAAGGGCTTCTACTTCCAGCTTAACCCTCGACGAATGTCCATGGGTTTTCGGCGATGACTTCTGAACTGATTGCAAGCATCCATCAGCCGATTCCCGACAAGCTCTTCCAGACATGTGCTCTTTCATGTGAAGAACTCAACTCCACTTTTGATATTGTCGTTGGGGAATCTGATTGAGCAGAGGCAGGGCATGAATCGGGAACTGAAGAATCGAGCCCATCACAAGAGCAGCGTCACAGTTCTCCGATCCACGCCTCGTATCCGTGTTCCATTGCCGTCCAACCATTCGTCGACAGCCCCAACTACCTGTTCTCAACCCGCAACTCTTGCATTCGTTAGTGAGGCAGAAAGGCCATGCGCAGATCCTTGAATGAGCGTTTTTCTTATGCGGGTGATTGAGCATTGCCTCTCCCAATTGCTGTCGGTATCGCTTTCTGTGAGGCTTATTACTGGGGCTAGGAGGCATTAACCGTTACAACACCAAGGCCGCTTGTCGCTTCAACATGGGAACTTTAAATTCCATACCGTCAACTCCTTGTCAAAAAGGCCGGGTGGTAGTTTGCTAGTGACAAACTCCTATCAGAACAAAAACGGATGTAAATGATGACATAGAGTTCGGATGAACAAATACTGCTCAATCACATACGACCCTCATGTAACTCCATCGGTGCCTTTGAAATATCGGGGCAAGACATATTTCTCTCTGCTCTAGGAAACAACCTTTGGCCTTTTTCTCGTCTTGACGAATACCTATGTAAGTCAAGTGCCTCTAGGACCATGGATTAATAGGACAGCTAGTAGCCTCAACTTAACCCAAAGCTGTCAATGATGCCAAATGAAAGACCTGACGCCCAATCCAAGTTTGCTCACCCACTGCGGGATTTCAAGTTGCCTCCCTGTCTTGCCCTCGTGTGCACCTAGTTATGCCCCAGGGAAAGGAAAAAAGCTGTCGACAAGCTCACTGGACAGCGCAACGCCCTAGCGCATCACTGGCAGAATCACCAGCAGAATGCTTCAAACCCCAACGTCATTTTGCAGTGATGGAGGGGCAGTCCCCAGTGGAGCGATTCTTTCCAGAGTGATTGGGGACCTTTTCAGGGCCCTGTACGGGTTGCTTCGGGCCGAGCTTTGCGCGACCACTCAGAGCCACCCGCTGACACTTGCCCCAGAAGCTGGAGCAGGTCACCCAATGCCCCTCGAATTTTTTGGTGTGACAGGGATGGTCTCCATTGTGCTTTCCCCGAAGCTTCAACGTTGAGTCACAGCTCTCTGCGCACAATTTCCAATTCACCACCAACGCCCAGCCAAGTCCGACAGACAACCATTGAATTGTGTATTACGCGTGCTGACAGATTTGAAGACGTCTACTGCCCTTCAGATTAACCTTCTGCCCCTTCGGCAACCCCGCGACACATCCTAGCCGTCTCGCGATAAACCCGCGACTCCTCCCGTTCTCGGCCCTTCCCACCAACGACCTGCACACTCCCAAAATGGCTACAGTGAAACCCAGCGTGGGGGACCTGGAGCGGTACCTCAAATCCCTCAAGGGAAAGCCGTTAGAAGCTTCAATTGACGGTCTTATTTCGTACGTACCTCTTCCTGTCGCGTCAAACCGTCCTCCTCTGCTAACCCTTGCGTCGCAGGCTGCTGAAGCGAAGACAGATCCAGGGCTCCGAGCTCTGCGCCGTCGCGACCGCCCACATCCTCCTCCAAGTCGTCGCCAAGTCCAAATGGTCCGATGTCGATCAACTCTTGGAAAAGATCCAGCAGATTGGTCTGCGCCTCATCGCCGCCCAGCCCAAGGAGCTTGTTGTGGGCAACATTGTCAGGCGCGTGCTCAGTCTGATTCGAGACGAGGCTGCCGAGGACCGTAACGAAGATGCCAGCGAGACGGCTACAGAGGTCGGGACCACCCCTACAACAGCAGTGCCCGACCCTTCCAAGCTGGAGCACCAGTGGCCCCCTTCGACATATACCAAGCAGGATGCTGGCGCAGACTACATCTCAAGCGGCCCGAGACCGGTCCGTCCCGGCGCTCTTACCTCAACGAGCTCCTTCCACGTCTCCAAGTCACTCTTCTCTCTTCTCGAGGCCTCTCCCCCAGCAGATGTCAGCGCAATTATGGCTGGATCGCCCTTCGGCAAGGACTCGGGTGCTTCGACCCCTCTCCGCGGGCAGTCGACTAAGGTTCACGCTCTCAGGTCAGAGGTCATCGAGGGTATTGAGGAGCTCAAGGACGAGATCAGCCAAGTAGATGACCAAATTGCCGCGGCTGCTGATGTCCAGATTCACCCAGGCGACTACGTGCTCGTCCACCAGCCTTCAGCCACTGTTCAAAAGTTCATTTTGCGCGCGGCCACGCGGCGAAGATTTACCGTATTCATTGCGTCGGAGCCAGCTCGTGGCTCCAATGAGGGCCCCTACGCATCATTTAGAAAGAAGCTGAGCGCTGCCGGCATTGACTCGATCAGCATCCAGAACGGCGGCATGATGGCCTACATGCCACGGATCAACAAGGTCATCCTCGGCGCGAGAGCTGTTCTGGCTAACGGAGGTATCCTCACGGACGCAGGAGCCGGCGTCATCGCCCGCGCAGCCAAGGAGCAGGGCAACCCTGTTATTATCCTCAGTGGTGTGTACAAGCTTTGCCCAGAGAGCTACTTTGACGAGGAGAGCTTGGTAGAATGGGGCAGCTCCATGAACCATGTGAGCTTCGCAGACGGGGCCATGGTCAATGGTGTCGACATTCGGAGCGCCGTTAGCGAGTTTGTGCCTCCGGAGCTGCTCGACACCTACATCACAAACCTGTAAGTGATTGCCGCGTACCACTTGATTAACCCAATAACTAACAGCGTGTACAGCGGCGCCCATTCTCGCAACCATCTGTCAACCATTATCGCCGATCATTACAAGCCAGAGGACGTGGACTTCCATCTTTGGAGCACCGAGGCTGACCGGTGATCTGGGACATGCCCAGTGTCGCAAGGAACAACTTGCATTCAACCCTGCCAGGACGCGAAAGCGGCGTCCGCGGCCCTGGCAGTGATTCGTGGCCCTGAAGACGAGACCGAAGAAAGTTCTTGGGGCCTGACCAGTCATCGGCATCATCAGGCGCGGCATGCATAGCCTGGTTCTGTACAGTACGCTAGTTGTCGATTTGGTCGCATCACTGTACGTATGTAGCCCTCTGGCTGTTCTAGGGCTAGGGCCGGTTGGTTCGGCAGCACGGCGTTGGAGTCGGAGGGGTTTACCGCCGACGGGTACACTTTCAAGGGTCGGCGTTCCAACGGCGTGGGAGACCCACTGGGGAGTGAGGGGCTTTGGCTGGGGCTTTGGGCGCTTGGTTCGTTGTGTGAGTGAGTGTGTGTGTGTGGAAGGCAGCGATGCGCTTGGCGGTTCAGAGTCATACCTAGCTCTTGGGTGATGGGTCTCGTCATGATTGGTCTTGGAAAGATGTGCGCTGCTGCCTCTCCCGTCCGCAGGGGGGGCCGCGTCAGCAACGTGCAGTGAGGCTTCTCTAACTTGAGGCTTCTCGGAAGTAAGAGAAACACAGTTGGGCGGTGACATCTTTTCGGGCTGTTTTGCGCAACGCGTACTGGAAGTAAGGTACTGCTGCGCCTTTGCAGGGCAGGGGTCTCCCTCAAACTACCTAAGCTTGATGCTTATCTTCACATGGCGTGTGCTCGGCCGCGCCGCCTGGGCTCTCGGGAGGCGGGGTCCCCCTCTATCGAGTGACGAACTGTGGTTCGACAAGTAACGCAGTCCGAGAGTACGAAGGGTCGTAAGGCTACGCGAACGTTCGGGTGAGCCTGGATAGGCAGCTGTTGAGGTTTAAGTTGGCCAAGGCTTAGCGGGAAGGGGCATGGGGGTCTTGAGATGGATGACATTGGAGGATTGAGTCAACGGAGTTTAGCACCTTTAGGCCCAGCCCAGCTCGTCAAAAACGCCAGATGATCCCACCGCTCGCGGTTGTGCCGGCTTGCCGATGATTTCTTGACCTTTTCTTGTCCTTGACGTCTCCCTCCTCCAATCTTTTTCTTCTCGTTGTTAGGTGAGAATTATCTATGCACTGACAATTAACGTCGTCAACGTCGACCGAAATCTTCGTCTCATCCCACCTCTGCGAAGAAGTCATAGCTTCACCGATCTCCATCACCGTCAATTACACCGACCAACAAAATCACCGCGAATAGCCATGCGACAGCCAGACCCCGACATCGACGACATCCCGCCCCCGCCATATTCAGAGACGGACATCTACTCTACCGCCGGGCGCAGCTCAAATACCAACAACACCAACGCTTCAGCTTCACCGCGCATCCCGTCCGACGATGCCGCCTCGCGCGTCTCGTCCCACACCTCCTCCCACAGCGAAGTCATCTACACCCCGCCGCTGACCCCGCGCACAAACACCACCCAGCCGCACTCGCGCCACGACTCCTCCCTCTCCAGCGCCAACGCCAGCATTGCAAACCACCCCGCATCGTCAACGACGGCGTACTCGGACTTTTCGGCAGCATATTTCGACTCCCGCCCGCCGCCGCCGTCCCGCTCCCCGCGCGAGCAGCTCGTCCACACAATCGCCATCACCCTCACAACGACCCCGGACGACGTCCCGTACGCGCCCACCTGGGCCGCCCGGGATGTCACGCAGCAGGATTGGGCCACGTTCATCAACGTCCTGATCCCCCACCACGCCGCCGCCCGCAATGAGGCCGTCATCAACCGCAAGCTGCAGGCCGAAGAGGAGGCCCTCGCCGCCGCTGCTGCTGCGGCAAATTCTAGTGGGGACAGTGTGAACGGGCAGAGCACCGGCAGCAACAGCAGCCACCATGCCTCCGCGCAATTGGAGCAGATCCGCTCCGACCCAGAGACGGACCCCGGCGCCGCGGCCGTGGGGGTGGGGCTGAGGAGGCAAGACGCGGAGGGCGTCGTCGCGCAATGGAACGAGGGCTTCTTCGGTCCGAGGGGCATGCTGGTTAGATTGAGCCCGGAAGTGGAGGAGCTGCGGATGCCCGGGGCGTGGGATCAGTCTTTCGACCGCAACGTCGATAGTCCCGCGTCGGCTGGACCCGGGGGCCCCGTGCCCTTCTCAGCACACGCTCACCAGGGATCGGTCCCGCAGCAGCCTGCACCCTCTGGGTCCCGGAGCTGGAACTTTGCCGGTATCAGGCTGAGCGAAGACGGCATCTCTATTGGAGACAGGTTCATAGCGGATAGCAACGGCATCAGGCTGGGGAGTTTTATTGCAGATGAGAGAGGAATCAGGTTCGGGAACAACCCCAACACCGCTACCCCCCGCGGGCAGCCATACGTCGGACAGCAATGGCATCCCGCCGCGGCACAACCACCAATCTTCCCTCCCGGCCCGTTCCCCCAAGGCCCTCACGCTCCTCCCCCAGGCCCGCCTCCCGACCATCCGCTCTTCCAAGCGCACCGGGGCGGAGCCCACACCCGCGGCCGCGGCCGTCCTCCCGGACGATACCCCGCCAACCAGCACCGCTCCCCCTCCTCCGACTCCTCGTCCTCCGCCGCGTCAACCTCCTCCTCCGACTCGGCCTCCTCCGTCGGCTCCCTGCCCGACTACGACGACCTCTACCCCGCGCAGCTGCCCATCTACAAGCAGCGCGTGGCCGACTGGCTCGCGCACCCTGATCAGCCCGTGACGCGGGCCGAGGTCTCGCAGCTGCGCTCCGAGATCCGCTCCGCCAGGTCCTCGGCGCGGGAACAGGCATCGTCTGCTACAGAGACACCCGCCGTTGTCGACGAGAGGGCGCTGAAGGCGGAGATCAAGGCCCTGACGCAGGAATGGCGCAAGCTCAAGCGCCAGCAGCGCGGCGTCCGCAGGGAGAAGCGCCGGGAGCGGCGGGCGAAGAGGCGTGAGGAAAAGAGGGAGCGCAGGGAGCAGAGGCGCGAGGAACGACGGAGCCGGAGGGAAGGCAGACGCAGCGGCGGCGGCGGTAGGGGACAACACCACCAACAACACCACCACCACGCACATCAACACCAACACCAGTCCCCAACCTGGGGCGCGCCGCCGCCGTTCCCGCCTCCGGGATTCCATGTCCACGTCCCGCCGCCGGTAATACACGCGGCGCCGATCCCGCCAGTGCCACCCGTGCCGCCCATCAACCCCCAACCGCCGATGACGCATACGCCGCCGGCTCCGAACATGTGGGGCGTCCCGAACGGGCCCCATCAGTACGGCGGGGGATTCCATCCCTGGGCGGGCGGCTTCGGGCGAGGGTGGGACGGCCGCGGCCGCGGACGCGGAGACGCTTTCAATGGTGGGTTCCCCGGGGCGTGGCCCGCGGCAACAGAGCGAGTGGGCGGCGTCGAGCCAGCATCACCGAGCACGCCGCAGCCACCGTCGTCGCAGTCCCTCTTCGACGCCGTGAAGGACATGGAGAAGGACCTGGCGCAGAAGGTGGAGGAGCTGGACAAGTTCCGCCTGGACCAGAGAACCGAGGAGCTGGACAATGCTTCCCTGGGGAGGGGCAGAGGACGCTGCGGCGGGGGGCGGGGCCGCGGGTTCGGTCGTTGGGGACGGGGCGGAGGAAGCTCGACGGGGGAGCAGACGGCGCAGCGGTTGATTGAAGAGATTGATGAGATATCCAGGAACGTTGAGAAGCTCCGCGTCGAGGCGGATGCCGAGTACGCGCGGGAGCTAGTCGCGGAGGAAGAAAGAAAAGCCGCCGGATGGTGAAAGCGAGACATACAGACTGGTTGAGTATGTAATATATGCACAACATATGGGAGGGAACTTTTGTTTCTTTGCTTCCATTGGTAATTTACCATGCCTCGTCTATTTTTGGGTCACTGTGCTATGATGCGCCATATCCTGTCGTAATCGTTTTAAACTTGCATTCATTAGAATGCTTGTCCCTGTGTACACGCCTCTTTTTTTGAGCCACCTCTCTTGAACAGCTTCGGACGCCATCAGGCAGATGAACATCCCAAAGTCTCCCGCGGATGGTGCCCAATACGGGGATTCACAAGTCCGCATGCAGATCGCGCCTCCCGTCCTCACGGTTCATCATTCACCAGTCAGATCGCCACTGGCTTCGACCCATTCATCAAAAACTCCTTGGAGGCCTCAATAGGGGACAGACAATAGGGGACGAACTTAGACTCACGGCCAGACTCCTAGTTCTTGGCGGACTCGTTCTTCTCCACCAGCTCTCCGACACCGAGGCCGCGGCCGACCTTGACCTTGCGCTTCTTGTCGGCGTTGGGGTCGCGGCCGACGTCGCCAACGGCATCGCCCTCGTCAGCGGCCTCGGCGGCACCGCCTTCCTCCGCCTCGCGATCGCGCTCGTCCTGAATCTGCTCGCGGATGTAGCCGAGGTCGAGCTTCATGCAGTAGGCGTCCTCGCCGTCGGCGTAGTACGACTTCTCCGTCTTTTCGGTCTTGAAGCCGAGGGTGTCGCGGTACAGGTGGATGGCGGCCTTGTTGGAGACACGGACGTGGAGGGAGACGTACTGGGCGCCAAAGGTCTCGACCATAGCCAGTTCTGTTGGGGTCAATGTCAGCTCAGGACGTCCATAATGGCAACGGCCTTGACGACGGGGGCACACGTACGACTTTGACGCATCAGCTTCTCGGCGATACCCAGGCGGCGGTGGGTGCGCATGACGCTGAGACTGGTGATGTGGCCATGAGGCACGCCGTCGGTGGGCTCCTCCTCCATCTTGGCGAGCACGTAACCGACGATCTTGGGGTAGTCGTAGGGTGTGCGCTTGGGGCGGGAGACGTCGACGGCGACATAGCTGAGCTGGGGCCACGAGAGGGCATGGTAGAGGTAGTACTTGAGGAAGTAGTTCTCGGGCAGGTTCTCGAGGTTGGCGTGTTGTATGAGGGGGAGGTCGGAGGACTTGAGGAGGCGGATATCCATGGTGGGCGAGTTTCTCTTCTTTTCGTCTCGGGACGGGAAGTTCGGTACAGTGACGCAGAGGGAGGAAGCGAGGCTACTGTTCGAGCTGGACTGGTCGTAGTCCGGGGTGGGAGGCAGCTGTCGCGCGAGGCTGAGGTGGGAGGGGTGCGTGGTGGTGTGGGTTGATGAATGGTGGTGAAGGAGAGACTTTTAGGTGGTTACCCATGTCGTTGGTGGTCGCTGCTGCCGACCCCACCACACTCAGCGCCGCACGAGGCTCCGAGGGTCGCTCGAAACTGCCCCGCCAATTGCGATTGGGGAGCTTACAGCTGTGCTTTTTACCGTTCCAATGCAGAGGATGAGCTTGTCCAAGCTGCACATTCAATTGACCACTAGACTCGAAGTCAGCCACCAAAGGCGCTTCCGTTCGTGCTTCTATTTTTCAATGCGGCTTGTTACGTTTCCAGCTACTCAGTTCCAGCATATACCGTTATCCTCCCGCATATTATACTCGGTGTAAACTATTCCGGAAAGTCTTAGCGCTGCTTCTCCAGCTTTAGCGGTAACACTTCCCACCGACACCGAGACATCACGACGCAAAGACGACGCAACTTGACTCGTGGATTGGCTCAATGGCCCATTTCCCCAATTTATTCTAAAGAACGAGGTCCAAGATTAAAGCATACAGAGTCTCTGGTCTTACAGGGTCTGCAGTAACAGTATACGATGCTTTCTTAAGATCTCCCCAATGTGCGGGATCTTCGTGGTCGTCTCTATTTTTCGCCCTTGTTAATTGCTCGTGATTCGTCCCCTCCAGCCATGTAATTCACCTTGTAGCAATTCGTACCCAACAAAATGCCACAGCAATGTCTCAACTTGGGAGTCCCCTGCACCAGGGCCCTCTCCGAACCCTAATGCGACCTTCACGATGGTCTAGAAAGACCCTTCCAGCGGCTCGAACCCTGGCACAGGATTGGCGCGGGAGAATGACGTGGGGGTCGCCCATCTCAGCGCCGTCCGTCCCACCACCGCGGGGCAAGCTCCAGCCAGCACTTTACCCCCCGGACAGCTCTGCGACAGCGGGGTAGCTTGCATATCCCGCCGAGAGCTTCGTCTCGAGGGACACGCCGCACCAGGGTCTTTCCTGCCACGAGGACGCGTTCCATTGGGTCGTTAATCCAGTCACCTCCAAGCTGCGCGCCTCTGTCCGGTCACGAGAACTGCTAGCATTGCCGATTTAGGAGATTGTGCTTTTTTGCTCTACTAAGGGTCCCAGTTCTTACGTTGGGTACCCTAAGCTGCCGTGTTATAAGAGCGACCTTGTGGTCCCCGTCCTCCCCGGTCTTGCTGTAACCTGCTAATCTACCTCTCTCCATTCTCCTCTTCTCTCACTTTGCAACCATTCCGTGACCCGGTAGCCTCTGTTTCCTATTGTCACATTTCAGTATAATCCGAATACCAAAGACAGCATCAGCAATGTCTCGTTCCCTCGAAGGAAAGCTCGGAATCGTCACCGGCGGCTCTCGAGGTGCGATACCGTCCTCTGCTTACTTGCTCACTCGAGAAAACAGCTAACAAAACACCAGGCATTGGCTTCGCCATCGCGGAGAACCTCGCCTCCAAAGGCTGCAACTTGATCCTAGGCTACACCTCCGCCTCCTCCAAAGCCCCCGCCGACCAGCTCGCCGCCGACCTCCAGACAAAACACAACATCACCGTCCTCCCCGTCCAGGCCGACATGGGAACCCCAACCGGCCCCCGCTCCCTCGTCGAGACGGCCAAAGCCCACTTCCTCCAAAAGGACGGCAAGTTCCAGGTCGACATCCTCATCAACAACGCCGGCGTCGCCCACAACAACCTCCTCCCGGACATCACAGTCGAGCAGTTCGACCTCTCCTACCGCGTCAACGTCCTCGGGCCCCTCCTCCTCGTCCAGGCCCTGCAGCCCTACCTGCCGCGCGACCGCAGCGGCCGCATCGTCAACATGTCCTCCGTCTCTTCGTCCACCGGCTTCCCCGAGCAGAGCGTCTACGGCGGCACCAAGGCCGCCCTCGAGGCCATGACCCGCACCTGGGCCCGCGAGCTCTCCGAGAACGCCACCGTCAACGCCGTCAACCCGGGCCCCGTCCTCACCGAGATGTACGCCGGTAACACCCCCGAGTTCAAGCGCTTCATCAAGGGCTTCATCGAGCACACGCCCCTCATGCGCGCCCGCAAGGGCATCGACTCGGACGAGCTCGTCGCCGAGGCCGAGGAGGCCGGCGGCCGCCCCGCGTACGTGGGCGAGATTGCCGGCGTTGTCGGTATGCTTGTGTCCGCGGAGTCTGCTTGGTGTACTGGTCAGGTTGTCTGCGCCAACGGCGGCATGCTGTTTGGTATGCAGTAGAGGGTTCTTATGAGTGATGATTCATGTGAATGGCGCTCCGTTTTGTTTTGTTAAATAGACTTAGAATTTTTAGAATTGATTCCCAAACCACTTTGACCTACTGTTTTCTTCACCTCCCCAAAATGTAACTGTGAAAATTCTGTGAAATTAGCCTATTTGTTTTCATCAGTTTGAGCGTTGAATGCTTGATGTGAGAGTCGGAGACGCGGGCCAAAAAGTCGCTGAGTCAAAGCTAATTTTGCCCCGCCATTAGAAATCGCCCCTCCATCAACTTCAACCTCAGCGTTTGGCCTCAACGCAACAACCGTCCGGAATAAAAATCATAATATTCGCCCGTCTTGATTCGCAAATACTCTAAAAACTCACTCCCCCCAATGCAAAATAACATGGACGACCCTTTTGACGACGTCCTCAACCTCGAGGAGCAGTTCTTCGCCGAGGGCTTCCGCCAGGGCACCGCGGACGGCATCCTCGCCGGCAAGATCGAGGGCCGCTCCGTCGGCCTCGCAAAGGGCTACGAAAAGTTCCTCGAGAGCGGCAGGATACACGGCCGCTCCGTCGTCTGGGCCAACAGGCTGTCGCTCCCGCAAAAGACGGCTGCTGTTCCCAGGGCGTCATCCTCTGAGAAACAGCAGAAGCAGCCCACGGATTCAAAGACGTGCTCTCTGCCGCCGCTGGCGCCAAACGCCCGGCTCGAGAAGAACGTCACCGCGGCGTTCGCGCTCGTCGAGCCCGAGACCCTGTCCAAGGAGAACAACGACGACGCCGTCAACGACTTTGACGACCGGTTCAAGAGGGCCCAGGGTAAAGTCAAGATCATTGAGCGGATGACGGGGGAGGGGGCTGCGGCCAAGGAGGGTGCTGAGGCCCCCAAGGTTGCGGAGGCAAAGGAGGCTTGAGTTTTGTTTTGTTTCGGGTTATTTTGGCATGGGCGGTGTTGGTTGAATGCATGTCTTCCCACAGCTAGATAGAGCATGAGCGGCGGGAGTCGAGATACCCCAAGATGGAGGACGACAGCATAAGGGCAGGCGTGGGACTATTTTGGGACATTGTTTTTCAGAAAACTTGAGAAAAACGTTTAATGGAATCTAGTGTCCGTCATATTTACAGCTTTGCCACTCCCCTCATACAGAAACCCTCAAATCCACTCGCCTATGTGAACGTCCTGCAGGGGTAACTAAACAGCAACCCACGTTAGCAAACCCACGATCAATACCGGCCAGGTTAGAGAAGAAACTCACGCTTCGCCGTAGGACTGGTCCTCGTTGACCTTGTACTTATGCACGTCCCACTTTCCGCTCTTGAGGTCGTGGCCGCTGGGCGTAGGCGGCAGGCCGTTGGTGAAGAGCTGCTCCTTGCCCGCCTCGACGGCGGTGCCGTTCTTCTCGAGATACGCCGCGATGCCGGTGGTCTGGGCCTCCTCCTGGGCGGCGACGAGCGCCTTCTCGCCGGCCTCGCCGATGAGCTCGACGCGCGGGTTGGCCGCGGAGCCGACGGACAGCAGGCCGACGACATCGGCCTGGTTGACGACGCTGAGGGCCGGGTAGTTGCGGCGGGAGTCGCGCTTCCAGTACGGGTTGTCGGCGATGTCGCCCGCGGGCACGGTGACGGGGTCGTCGTACTGGAGGGGATCCAGGGAACCGGGTGCCGGGTTGCGGAAGGTCGGGTTCAAGGGCACGCCGGAGGAGCGGTTCGGGTCGATGGCGAGGGAGCGGCGGATGCGTTCCCAGACGCCGGTGGACTGGAGGGTGTGTTTCTGTGGTTTGGGGGTTGTGTGTTAGCTATCGGATTCGTGGACTTGAGGCATGGGCAGTTGGGTCGTTTGTCGGGGAGGGTTTGGTGATGATGGCAGGTGGTGGTGGTGGGTGGTGGTTTCGTCGGGGAGAGGCTAATTGAGGCCTCGCAGGCGGTCGTACCTTGGAGATCTCCACAATGCCGCCAGCAGCAGCTTTCGCAACTGCCTTGGAGGCCATCTTGGCGACGTCGTGGGTTGAGCGGAGAGGGGTATTCGGTCGGTCGGTGATGGGCGAGCTTGAATGTTGGTGGTGATCCGGCACCCGAGTCGAGAGCGTGCTCCAGTTTCTGGCGGGAGCGGGTAGCCGGGGTTTAGCCGGTCGAAGCAATAGCCGTGCTTCAATTTGCAACCCGACTTTAACACAAAGTACCCACTTTCACCTCTCTCACGCAAATCTGCCCTGCAACGCTGGAATTTCCGGGGTTTATTCACGGGAAATTGGCCTGCGTGCATCGCCATCAAGGTTTGGCGATGCTCTGCCGCCGAGGCAGAGGGGATGATGTGCAATTGAAGCAAGACCAACGCCATTGAATCAATTCCCAACTACCTTGCGGATACATGAAAAACCGTCCCATATCCCTCCTAGAGAGCATTTTCTTACAAGAACGCACTCTCACCACTAGATTATACTTACATCGCAGCACTATAATTACTCGCCTTCCTTCTCATCCTTCTTCTCGGCCTCGTCGGCGCCATCCTCCTTCTCGTCCTCGGCGTCACCATTGGCCGGCTCCTCCTTGGCATCGGCAGCAGTCTCGGCAGCAGCCTCGGCGTCACCGCTCTCCTCGACGAGCGCCTTGACAACCTCGACGGTGGCAGCAGGACCGCCGGGCTCGGCGGCAAGGACCTTACCGGACTTGTCGACGACGAAGACACCACGCTGGGTGCCCTTGGGGTGCTTCTTGAACCCAATGGCACCGATTAGGGTGGCCTTGGGATCGCAGAGCAGCGGGTAAGGCAGCTTCTGCTTCGTCTTGAAGGTGGTGTTGGCCTTGGGCGAGTCCGCGGACAAGCCGTAGATGGCCAAGCCCGTCTTGGTAAGCGGCTCGTAGGAGTCTCGGAAGAGACAGACTTGCGTAGTGCCTGGGTATCAAGACGATTATCAGCACGCTGTGCATCCAGACGTGATATCGCCGAGCGGATGTCGCGGTATATTGGGGAGTACTCACAGCCAGGAGTCGAGGCCTTGGGGTAGGTGAAGAGGACGACGCCAGCCTTGCTCTTGTCGACAAGCTCCGTCAGAGTGGTCTTGTCGCCGTCGTTAGTCTCGACCTCGCCGCCGAAGCCGTCGAGGTTGATGGTCTCGCCCTTGGCAGCCTTGACCTTCTTGTCGGAGCCATTGGCAGCGACGGGCTTCTCCTTCTCAACGGGCTCCTCAACGGGCTTCTCGGGAGCGGCCTTGGCGGGCTTTGCCTTGACGGCGCTCTTGACCTTCTCTGTGGCCTTTGCGACCTTGGAGGAGGCCTTCTTGGGAGCAGGAGCCGGGGCGGGCTCGGGGGCTTTGCGCTTGCGGAGCTCGACGGGCATTGCGTCTGGAGGATGGGTTGGGGGAGCTAGTGGTAGTGATTCAGGTGTAGATGCCGGCGATTTTACAAGGGGGGTCGCTTGTGATGTGCGACTTGGACTTGGGTGATGCGCTGATGATGCGATCTGGATGCGATGGACAGGTCTGGAGAAATTGCAGCAAGACGGGAGGGGTTTACGGGAGTCGAGGGAAGTTGAGAGGTAAACAGGAGGTTCAAGAGGTCGGCCTCGGGAGAAGCCAATCACAGGCGGCGATGGGTAGAGCTTCAGCCGGGACCAGGGGGCTGATGCGATGCAGATGCTGCGTGCTGCATTTTGCGCGCGGAGCGGTGCGGTGCGGTGCGGGCACCCAGATGCTACCTACCTGACGGTAAGGCAAGGTACGATGAAGATGTACCCTGCCTTCATTACACTACACCCATGCTCGGACTGTGGTGTCAATTATTAAGCTCGGGGCAGTCTGGAAAATACGCTGCGCGCAGCTCGGGGGAGGAGGAGGAGGGAGGAGCTGCGGTTGCCGGAGGAGTGGTGTAGCAAGAGCACAAGAGGACTCAGGTCGGAATCTGCGTGTCTGGGTCCCCGAACCCAAGTGCCCTGCAACTGCAGCTGCGACTTCGTTGGGGCAGGAACGGCAGTGGCAGACGGGGAACACGCCTCTCTCTCTCTCTCTCCGGCTCTGAAGGAGATTTCGTGCCTTCGGCTGTTTCCCTGCCGTCCACCTCTCAACGCTCTCTGCGTTCCTGGTTCGGTGCTTCTTTCCCACCACCCCGGCCTAAACTTTCGTCCAGTGGCCGTGCGTTCCTCGACCCTCGTCCCCGTCTTGGTCTTAGCCTCTGTGCAAACGCACGTTCTGGCGCTGCCGGGCTCGTGTGGGGGAACACCAGATGGCTGGGCCTAGGGCCACATGCGCTGCAGTTTCACCCGCGTCGTGTCCGTCATTGACAGGCGTTGGGCCCTTTCTCGTGTCTCGACGCCCTACTTCTACTTCTGTCCCTGCCATCGAGATTCCATCCGCATTTGTTCGGAGCGATGAGAATGTGGCTTGCCAGCAGCCACGATGCCTAGGTATCGGGAAGAGGAAGCCACCTGCTTTGCGCGCATTCAATGCCACTTCAGTCCTCCAGTTCTCTCCTGTATTTCCAAGTAGTCTGTTGTCTGCAGATGAGCTTCTTTCACCAACACCATTCGTCAGCCTCTGTACCTGCAATTCTCCATCTCGTAGTCGAGAAAATGTCGTCCTCCCCTCCACACCACAACTTTCGTCGCTCGAAAGCCTGCAGCGTCATATCTGGCCCCGCAGAACCTACCACGCGACGTCCTTCTTTACCCAGTTCAGCCCGGGGTTCGTTGCTTGCTTGGTAGCCTGCTTCCTGCTTAACTCCTACCATGTGGCTCATCAACGTCGACAATCTTCAATTGGAAGAGCACCTGAATCCCACCGTCCCTTACGCTATTCTCTCACACACCTGGGGCACGGAGGAAGTTTCCTTCCAGGACTTCAGGAACCTCACCGACGCCGTGAGGGGGAAAGCTGGATTTCCAAAGATTGCCGCAACATGCCGCCTCGCCAAGTCGCGGGGCCTTCCTTATGCCTGGGTTGACACTTGCTGCATCGACAAGTCGTCGAGTGCTGAACTCTCCGAGGCCATCAACTCCATGTTCCGGTGGTATCAGTCGTCAAAAGTATGCTTTGCATACCTGGCTGATGTACACCACGATGCAAACTCGAGTACGTTTCCCGAGCGCTTCGCAGCTTCCCGATGGTTCACGCGAGGATGGACTTTGCAGGAGCTAGTAGCGCCAAAGAACATCATTTTCTACAATGATGTCTGGGAGCAACTTGGGTATAAAGAAACACTGGCTATAATACTCACCTCCATCACGGGCATTGACAGCAACATATTGTTCAATAAGGTGTCACCGAAGAAAATACCAGTCGCCACTCGCATGTCGTGGGCTTCTAGACGGCAAACTACTCGAATCGAGGATGCAGCATACTGCCTGCTCGGGCTGTTCGACATCAACATGCCCCTGCTCTACGGGGAAGGACAAAAGGCTTTCGCACGCCTACAGTCGGAAATTCTGCAAGAGACCAACGACCTGTCTCTGCTGGCCTGGACGTCAGAGACAACGGATCCTGGACGGCAGCGGTCATACGATGGCGTATTCGCCGAATCACCAGCCCAATTCGCTGCCTGCTTGTATCGGACGATAGTAAACACGCCGCCGCTCATCGACGATGTCGATGTTGTTGTGACGAGGGCCAACTTGATGGTCTCCACTACTCTGCACATGCAAGAGTTGGTTGAGGATGGGGCTGAAGCCTCAAAAGGGAGAGAGTATGTGTTGTTACTGCAGTGCAGCGATACACAAGGAATACCGGCAGTTCGAAGACCGATTGGCATCTACGTATCCAAGACCCCGTCAGGATTCATCCGCCACAAGCCCTGGATGCTCACCATGCCTTTCTTCAACGAGGCCGTGCTGTTCGATAGCAAGCCTCGACTGCTAAAATTGCTGAGACACATCAGTTTTGAGGATCACATCGGGCATCAAGACGAGAGATTCCGCCCTGCTGTCTTCATTCGATTGAATCAGGACCAGAGCACACTCGAATGGCTACACCACACCGAGATTTCCAAGGCTACTCCTGATGCCCTTTGGGACGGCATGGACAGCGTGTTCCTTCACCATGAGAGATTCGACCAAATCTCCCTAACCCCCCAATTGCTGCAAATCTCGCTGCTGGGAGACAACAAGCTACAGGTCGGGAAGCTGTTTCTCGTGTCTGTCATGTCAAACCGTGTGCCCTCGGAACGATGGGCAATATTGCTTAGCAACTATGAGGATCCCATAGGTGTTCCACTTCTGAGGAATCTCGGCAACTGGGATACCGCGTCTTTGTTTGGCGGTCGCATCTACTTTCTCGTTCGGCCTGTGATGGAACGTCGGGAATATTGGCCGGGTCAACGCTTGTCACACCCTGCCGTTCAATTGGCCATCCAGCGGGAACCCGCGGAGGGCGTCGCATCGCCAAACTGTCCAGCCTCTCGGATACTTCAGCTGTCTGAACATCGGCGGGTCCTCACAACCTTGAGCGTTATCCCCAGTGACGCGGGAAGGTACGCCTGGACTATCCAGATTTCTGTAAACGATGTCGACTCTTCATTGGACACTGGGTTTGATGTCGACTCTGCTGGTGAGCCGCATGGTACGCCGGACGCCTCGTTGGTATTGTAACCTTTGCGTCGCCTAGCCCAGCTTAACCCTTCATGGTATCCACTCCCGGAAGGTTCTTCAACAATAAAACACGGCAAGATGGCCGAGCGGTCTAAGGCGCTAGCTTCAGGTGCTAGTCAAGTAATTGGCGTGGGTTCGAATCCCACTCTTGTCACTTTAATTTTGCTCTCATGGGCTTCTCGCGATCTCATTTTTGGTGTTTTGGTGGATTATTTGACGTTGTGGTGTTGAGCGAGCATTGAGTGAAATTTTGATGATGTGCGGCCATTTTCGGGCGACTCGCGACAGGCGCAACGTTCCTGCTTGGAAAGGTGGGTCCGAGCTTTTGCGCCTGCCATTTCTATGCGCCGAAGGCATGAGCTTGACATGTTGCTTGACGGACATCTAGTCTTGCAATGGGAAGGAAAAGAATTGTTCTGCAATTTTCTGGATTGTACAGTTGTGCATGAGTGACGACTGAATCTCTGCAGCGATGGTGAAGGAAGTGGGTGTCGTCTTTCGATATTGGAACCTCAATACTGAGTGACATGGCCGAAGTAGCTCATGATAGTTTTCGAGAACAAAATGGGAGATTACATGGTGGGGAAAATATAGATCGAATTTCCTATGGTATCTACGCAAGAAAAGGAAAAGACTCTTCATACAAGCACCTATTGCTTCTGCAGCCATCTGCCTGTGTAAGTGCTCAACGTCTAAGACGCTTAGCCAGAGATTCACCATCACCGGCATAGCCCCCTTTTGAGAAACCCAAGATTCAGTGTCGAATACCCAAATCAGTACTCAAGAGTATCCGAAGCCCGTCTTCTCTAAATAAGGTCACTCACCTTGTCTCGTCCATCTCTATCTTACCTTCGCTCCAAAATATGCACCTACCAAAAACCTCCCCTCCCCTCCCGCCCCACTACCCGCATAACCCCACCGCAACCATAAACGTTCCAAACACCCAATCAGCTCACCACCCTCACCAAATGAGACCACATTCAAACCCTCAAAACTCACTTACACCGGTCGAAACCTCCAACAACCACCCCCAAAACACCAGTAGTGGGAGAATGAAGTGAGATGCCTTCATCCAAGATGCGCAAAGGAAACCTGACGCCAAAGGTAAAGAAATCAAAACCACACCACATCACATCACATATCCCTTTCCCCCATCTCCAACTCCACTCCCCATGAACCGTCCGTCTCCTAACGGCCTCATCAACAGACCATAACCGCCCCCTTGGCGGCCTTCACCATGGCCTGCCTCCTATTCGCGTAAGTTACAATCTCTCAAACCTCTGGCACTCCTCCCTCGCCTCACCTCGCCTCGCCAAGATGGAACCATCCTAGACCTCAGAAGGAAAAGAGTCCCCGCTGACCTAGACCAGATACACCCGCTCCTCGATCCGCTCAGCGCGAGACCAAGCCGTTTGTCGCCCCAACATCTCTCCAATCTCATGCGATTGTTTCTCATCTGCAGCCTCACTAACACCCCCTTCAAGAGATACGGCCAAGGTCACGGCCAGAACCAGGGCCACATCGCCAGCGGCAGCAGCAGACCTGCCGTGCCGTCTGAGCCCAAGTCCTGATGCGGGGACAGAGAAGAATCCATTATCGCAGACGCCTCAGTATCGCGGGTGTTTGCCTCTGTTCTTCACTACCATCCTCAGCGGCGGACGAGAGCAGGAGAACCGGGCAAGCAGGGCCGCGCTGAGATACGCCGGTTTTCTATTGTATCGCTCAACTTTCATGTACCATATACCCCCCACGCGCCATTGACGTTACGTCTATAAGCGCAGCACGAGATACCAAGTGAGATACTAAAAAAGGCTTTCGCATTATGTTTGCGCTACCGATCATTGTCCCCCGTAGATACTCCGCGCCCGAGACTCATGTTTATGCTACAAAAGATTTGTGCCGCCCCAAATAATAACATTCGATCCTTTTTTGTCATGCTCCATGGGTAAGTGAACGCTCTGTGGTGAGAGAACGGGTTCAGGATGCTAGAAAAAAAATGAAAGGAGAGAGAGAGGTGGGAGGGACAGATATTGCTGCCTCTCCTGTGGAGTTTGTTTGAGGGTGCGCTATTTCGCGTGACCTGAATCGAGTTTGTCTATAACCTGACGACCAAAGTTAAGGGTATCTGGAAAAGTCCCATTCCCGTTTTCCTAATCTCAACAGCTTCTTTCCTTCTCTCCTGCATTGATGTACCGCAAATGGTTGATCTTGATACGTAGTCTCTTGCCATCCTCCTTCTTTAACTGAGCAAATTCAACGCCGCTCTCGACTGTGCGTGTGTGTGTTTGAAAAATCGGCCGAAATGGCGGCTGAGCTCATGGTTCGAGTTCCCTCCCCTTCTTCCTCTTGCCTTCGTCCCTCGCTTGGTTCAGCTGTTTCATGACAAACTCGTACGTCAACATCGTCACCGTCGCGGCCGGCACCGCTCGCATCATGTTAGTGCCCATGCCAGCGTAAAAGGCCCTCCATCCCTCCTCTTTGAGGATGGTCCGGAAGGTGCTAGCCACGCCGCGATACTTTGGTGATATCGGCTGTTGCTTCTTGGCTTCGTCGCCCAGCATCGACTCTGGCACCTTGATGCCAAGACCCAGGAGGTATTCCGCTCCGGCTACTGGCCTCCTTTGCGTCTGCAACCTCGTCCGGATGACTTCGTGCGGGTACGTCGCACTGCTCGCCATGATCTTCGACAATATCGAAGCACAGAGAATGCCCACCCACTGCGACTCCTGCGCATCGCCGTGCGCAGGCTCTCCCATTCCCTGACCGGTGAACTTGGTCTTCAGGTACTCGTACGCGGGGAACTGGACAGCTACGTGAGTAAGTCCCAGCAGGGCCGGCGTCAGACCGGAGTAGAAGGAGAGGATGCCTTCCGACGTGTACATCTTGCGCGCAGCGTCCACCGTCGACGAGTAATGCCAGTTGCTGTGCAATGTCGGTCTCGAAGTTGGTGTATTAGACGACTTCGGAAACTGCGAGTAGTGCTTGCCAGGGTCGTGTGCGACGCTCTGCGACATCAGGCGGGTCTTGATAACCCATATCGGATTCGTAACAATGGTACTGCTGGCACCGGCTATGATGGATGACCAAAAGTTGATAAACACCGCGTTGTCTGTGGCTGTTGTCAGCGGAGCGCTCTCCTTGAAACCACCCCCACTCCCGCTTCCTTACCATGGCGCTGCTTCATCCAATCCTTGCTCTTGTTGTAGACGGTAAACCAAACAGCCCAGGTGGGCAGATAGCCCAACACTATCGGGCCGAGCCCCCTGTACATGCCGCGGATGCCCTCTTCCCTCCAAATGACGCCGGCGGTGCCAAGCAGGCCATTGTACAGCTTCGGGTGTCCGACGTGTCTGCCTTTTGCGATAGGGTTGAAGCCGCCCTGGGCCTGCAGCTTGGTCTTAATGACATCAAGCGGGCAGGTGACGACGCCCGAGGTGAAGCCTCCGACGGCGCCGGCGAGTGCGTTGAACTGAGAGTCGGAGGCGCCGGCAGCCCATCTTTCGAAGAGGGTGATGGTGGTGTCGGGCATGGCAGCGGCGGCTTGCTCCACGGTGGCTACGGCCGCAGCGCGGACCGGGGCTGGGTAGGCTCGCGAGCTGCTGTAGTTGGGATATGTCGATGTGGGATACGGCCCATATTCTTCTTCTGGCGGGTGCGGTGCGCCTCGTTGAGGATCGTGGTGTTCGTCGTGAGACATCCCCTCTCACTGTTGAGCTCGGTCGGCGGTCAGGATTGCGGGGTGTAGGCGAAGTTCTGTGCTGGGTAGAGATCAAAAGAAATCGGCGCGGTGCTCCGGGGTTTGGTTCGCTCTCGAAAAAGCTGTGTACAAGGCAGATGGGATCAGATATCTGGATACCGCACAAGCATGTGCGGGCGTTGGTGGTCAAGATGCCGCAGTAAGTCGTTCGTGATCAGTGACTCTTTCGGTGGTAATTGTGGTGTATATCGTTTGTACCTGTCGGTCAGGTATGGATCGTTGCTGGACCTTCCCAGGTGTCCCGGTATGCGGGGAACGCTCCCACGCCGCCGTGACACTGAGCGACTAGCGGTTATCGCAGCCCATTGGCCTTGCGGGGGATTCGAGACCTAGTGCGAGCAGTGGAAAACGGATCGGGTAGGACGAGCGCTCCCATATACACGGGATTGGGAAGTGAGGGGTGAGGGCGGAGGCGCGGGGAGGAGAGAGAGAGGGAGACGGAGAGAGGAGTTGGTGAGAACGGTGGTGGTAGCAGTGGTGGTTGCAGGAGTAGTGTAGTTTAGTCTTGGTCTGGTTGGTAAGGCAAGGTAGCGTCGGCACGGGAGGAGGAGCGCAGTCGGGGGCAGTTGGAGACTGAGATATTGCGAAAAAGCGCCGAGGTGGAGCGGGACGGAGCACGAGAGCAAAATGATGCGAGCTGTCGGCTGTCTCTTTTGGCAGGAGGCGCCAGGATCGGGTTGCAGTGGTGCGGTGCAGGTGCGGTGCAGCGCATTCGCAGCAGTGAGTGAGGTGGTCCGTCAGTGAGTGGCCCAGGATGTTGACCTGCACCGCTGCTGTTCGGGTGGAGTTGGAGGGCGCAAGCCGTACCGTTTGACGCTGGAGACTGGACGACAGACGCCGATGCACTCTACAGGTTCCGGCACCTGCTGAAGGGTCCTGTGCAATGACGCTGCGGGGGTTGGTGCTTCATTCCCGACTTGTTGCTGACGGGAGGTTCTGAGACTTTAAGTCGCCGAACGGTGTGGTGTTCCTTTCCCGAGTGTTGGCTTCAGACCCGGGAGCTGCCGACAGCTTCCAGCTTGTTTGCAGCATTCTTAATGATCAACGCATATTATGACGCAGGATTACAGGGCGCAACTGTTTCGTCGCAATGAATTGTTCGCACGTGAGCCAGTCGAATATCGGCTCGGCACTATCTTGCAGATACTCGGAAATGACAGAGCTGTTCAGCGTCTGTCTGGGATCGTTGCAAGTCGGAAGCCGAACCCGAGCCCTTTCTCGACTCAGTCCCTACAAAACTCTGAATCGCAAAGTCGCGAAAGCCCAGCGAAAAAAGTTTCAAGCTTCCAGACCACAAAATGAGCTCCACCTCCGCCGGTTCTTTGCGGCTTTTAGGTGCACCACAAAAATCTCGTCCAGCAGCAGGGTCTGCGGTGCTATCACGGCCAGGGCATCCCGTTGGTAGCGCCCATTACCTCATAGGCGCCCAGGGCCCAATCACCGCCGCTGCTTTCTCTCTACCCGTTTGCTGGAATATGGTCCGTGCGGCGAGATCTCTAGGCATCTTCCCCAGCCACATAACGCACCGCCACAGAACATCTGGTCTGGTCAGCTGTGGCTGATGAGTCGTTGACTGGACGGAATCTCAAGGATGGTCACATGACCCGCCGTCCCGAATCTTTGCGCCTCTCCGGGATGCTCCACGATTTTCCCAGTGTAGTGTGTGTACCAACCTCAGGCGATCCGCAAAACCGCTCTCCGAGGCAATTCATATCGACAACCCCCCGATCTCCTCTCCACCACCCAACCCAGCCCGCCACAATGACTTCGCTCATTTCCAAGCAGCTGGCCGAGGGCATCCTCGCCCGCCCCTTCCTCAAGTCCCTCGCCATCCCCTTCGCCAACTGGTACGCCAACGCCGCCGGCCACCGCAAGCTCGGCTTGAGGTAAGCGCATCCAACCCCCGCGACCCAATTGCGACCCTGCGACACCGCACCCCGGACCGACGGCTGATCAGACGACTTGCAGGTTCGACGACCTCATCGAGGAGGAGACCGATATCGTCCAGAAGGCCCTCAAGCGCCTCTCCCCCAAGGAGTCCTACGACCGCGTCTTCCGTCTCCGCCGCGCCGTCCAGCTCTCCTACCAGCACAAGCTCCTGCCCAAGAACGAGTGGACCAAGCCCACCGAGGTAAACCGGCGCCCTCTCGACCCGAATTGAACGATTACGGACCTTGGAAGGACTAACACATGGATCACTACAGGACGTTCCCTACCTGTCCCCCCTCATCCAGCAGATCCAGGCCGAGGAGGCTGAGAAGCTGGCCTTCGAGACCATGGAGGTCCAGAAGAAGCACCACTAAACCGGCTGCCGGAGAGAGGAAACGGAAATGGAGAGCGCGCACGCCTGATGTGTAGTATTAGGGAGGGAACCGCCCGGCCGAGTGCGCGATGGGCCGAAAAAAAAATATGCGGCGATTTTTAGACCCGAGGAGGATATAGAGACAGGCCGGGCGGTTCGTGTACCTTATGTATAGACCTCGGGGTTTTATTTTTCGTCTGTCAATTGGAACACCCTGCTACAGTTCAAGGTTTTGCCGCGCCCATAGTACCAATTGATGACTGCTTGGACACTGGGATATCTCAAGGACCCTCGCCCCCCGGCTCGGGCTGGCGGACTAGCTGACAAAATGCGCACTCTGATTGGTCAGTGCTGCCCGACCCACGCAACAACACCAAGACTACCTATGGACATGAATGGCAACGACCGTTGCAAGTTTCACGATACACCGATATGACGACTTCTACCCACTGGGCCATGATGGTTCAACGAACGAACTCTGGAATTATGTAAGACGCGGCGTTTGATGCCTC